CTGTGGGACTGATATGCTCGCCATAGTTACACTTGTCCTCCGGACAAGGAGTGCATTGAGAACCTGCTTCAACCAAGGCATCGTACAACTTGCATGTTCCGTCGGGGGAGCATCCTCGAATAGTGAGTTCTTCTCCTCCAGCTTTTGCTTTTCCGATTAAAGTGACGCATTGGAAAGTACCCCCTGCCGCAGGTGCAGCCGATGATGGAGGGTCGTCTAACTCAATAAATCGAGCAGGGGCTGCGGTAGTTGCTGCTCCCGCGGCTGGGGCTGCAGGAGCGCATACTTCTTCTTCCAGTTTGTCGCATTTACCTGTAGCACATTTGAAGCAGATCAGTGAGTCGGTTGAACCGATCACTGTTAACAGGGCGACGAAAACCACCAACTCGAATTTTCTGATGGCATGTTGCATGGTTGGGAAGATTTTCTTCTATTTAGCTGGCGATTCGAACGATAATCTTCCTTCTGAGACTTTAGCAATATTTATGTTTGACAGGAAATTCACCAGCTATTACGTTGTCATGACACTTTACTGTTCACTTGTTTGAACATCGCCTTCCAGTCGATTTTGTTTAAATGTGACCATTTCTTTATTATGGGATGCGTTCCCTTATTGCCTCCCACTTTATTAATTTGCTCTTCAAAAAAAAACGAAAATCCTGCTGTTTTTCAGAACACTAACTTTATTTCCTACCGAAAATCTAATTTCAGCTAATTATCTAATAAGAAGATTATGCTAACATGAGCCTAGTGGGCCTGTTTCTTTTATAAAGTCCTTCCTCTGTGACGCGATGTCAAATAAAAGAGACCAGGAGTTCGAAACTGATATTCTACTTAGAAATTTTACTTGAAAATACAGGATCATTAATAACTTTATATTAAATGTGTCGCTGTGCATATTTACTTTGTCAGTTTCCATCCAGGGTGTTTAAAATAGCCATTAGCGCTATTGACTGAAGTGGTAACTTTGCCAGTTACTCTTCTATACTGGTGTATTCATGCTGAAGATTTATATTTTCACTCAATATTACCTTGATTACGGTGCTAGAGATCGAAAAGAAAAAAATTGCTTTTTAATCAATGAAAAAGTGATATGGATTAGGAACTGTGGCAGCAAATTTCTTTTAATGTTACTGTATTCTTTAGACAAGTTACTGATTGTTAGTGAATTTGTTCACAGTAGCAAAGTAGAACTGAAAATTTTGGTTGTTATCAAAGACATTCATATATAGGTGAAGCTAGTCATTCATAAATCCTTATTTGTTTGCGTTTGTCTGTACGACCGATCGAAAATAGGCATTTACAAACAGGAGAATTATTACTCGCTTGTTCGCTAGAATTGTATTGATTAATTTGAAATTTTAATTTTTAAAACAATTTATTTCCAAATTAATACAAACAATACAGATGTTACTTGTATCCGAACATTAACTTATGACTTCTTATGACTCTTACAGACCGTATATGTTAAGACTGCATAATTAATACTTATTTTAGTGGATTTATTGTAATCATAAAAGGTTCTTTGATTTTCAGACCTCTACATCTACAGTAAAGGGTTCAAATTCAAAACCATATAGTAGTAACGCAAAATTGTCGACCAACTTGCTACGTTTTAATAGAAGCCAAAAATAAGTTCCTGCGCTTGACTTGTATTTTTAATATAACTTACCCCACTTGGTACTGCTGTAAATGTACAAGAGAAATATAGATTAGAAAAATTCAACCCGATTTTCCTGCAAACGAGTTTTCTTCTCATAATTTCCTCTAACTGTAATGGTTTTGAGTATCACGATTATCATTTATTTACAAAAAGCAGGAGAAATTGCCGACATCCACGCATGTCTACTTCCGCTTACTATTAATTTACTATCAAGATATTCTCTTCTTTTTGTGGTGTAAATATCTCCTTAAATTCGTATTTCCGTAATTCCGACTTACAATTTACGAACAACAATTTTGAGAAAATTATTCTAGTTTTCAAATAAAAATAAATTCAAATTACCACTTATTAAACACTTCATTTCTAGTATGTTATATATACTAAATACATAGCAGCTTTTGTATATTATTTTTAACTTGTGCAAGTTATCAGAAATAGAGATAATTTGAGAATAAAAGTTTGTTTGCTTGATCCAAACGCTATTCGATACGCAAACAGGACACTTTTATAGTTCAATTAAATTTTCAATACGAACATCTGATTTTAAAGTAGGACAAAAGTAGAAGTCTTTAAGCAGGGCATACGAAATTAACTATAAAAATGAAAATTTTCCATACTTTTGGCTATACTCTGGAGAAAACAACTGATGAACTAACTTTTTCGTCAAATGAAGAAAAATAAGAAAATTTAGTTCGTTTTCTTATAGCTATACAAGACTGTGTGAAATGTATTTATCTCACTCACAATCACTTTTGATTCTTTGGATTATATTTTTATGTGTATATTTCTCATAATTTCTTTAAAACAGACATTTTTGTGCAACTATCTTCTCACAGTCTTTCTGTAAAACGAAACTGTATCGCCATATTCTTTTATTTTTGAGCATGCTTTTTATGACATCTCTTAGATTTTCGTGCTATAGTTTGTACGTCATTGTTATACAGAATAATTTTTCGAAGATGTAAAATTTAATGTAAATGGTATAAACATAATAAAATAATAAATAGGAAAATGCTATCTGCAGAGACGAAATTATATCATTAGCGCAAGCATTGCAGTTTCAACAGAAAATTGCATATATTCTGAACTTTTCCAAATAAATCCAACACTAATTAAGGATTGTTATATTTTATCTTTTATAGGTATGTTTGTTATCCGTGCAAATGTTTGTAAATTAAATAACCGATAATTTGGCATGATCGAAATAGTACGCGAAAAAAAACCCATAACCCAGATTTGCAAACCTTTATGCAGTAAATAACAAACATAAAGTGGAATTTTATTAATATAAATTTTATAACTACATATTGTGGTTTTAATTATCTACTTTGTCTACTCTTTTTTACAATTGGAAAGTTTAGCGTGCTTGTATTATGCATAAAAAGTAGTTGTTCGAATCCCCATTAGGTTTTGTACGTACCACTGACCACAACTTTTACATCAGGCCTTCAAACAAAGAAATATGACTAAACTTTTACAAAACATTGGTAGTTGAATGAAATTTTAATTTTAAAACTTTTGCAGTTAACTCTCTTGCAAACCGGCAAATTACAAATAAAATGTAAAAACCTGAAACATTGTAACTGCTTTAAACGCGATAGTCCGGTAAAAATTTGTTTCGAACATTTGGGTCAATGCTTTCAAACTCAATACATTAACAAAATATTCCGAATTCCAAATGTAGTTTAGCAATATTTAATGTTTGTGTGGTCAATTTATTTACATATTTCTTAATTTTTTATTGATAACGACAAAATTTTGGTGTTCAGCATGTAAATTTAATGACATTTGTAAAGTAAGTGTAAATTGATAACGCAAACAGATTACTAAATGCCTAAGCCTTTTCGGCCTTAAAGGCATATTTTAGACAATTGGAAAATATATATTTTTTCAATTTATGCAGTAAAATTCAATTTTCCAAATCACAATTTAATGTTACCATTAGTTTTAAAGGCGGCATTACCAATAAAAACTATATTTTATTTTAATATTAAAAGTTTTTTAACATTGCATAAAAGTTAAATCAGAGATCAAGTAATTGGGAAAGAAACACTGTTTGCTTGAGAATGAAATTTAATTTGAAAGCATATCTTCACTTTTGCTAAAGCTTTTTCCAAAGATGTAAAGCTTATGACTTTTATGATAACGGCTACACACTTTCTTATTTATTACACGTGTTTATTTACTTTTAGCAGACTTATTTAAAAAAAACGTTAGCTGACTGAGTAAAATAATTAAGAAATAATCATGAACATTGAAAAAACAACCACATAAAGTTACACTTTATCATTTTAGTAAATAGGTGTCGTAATCTGTCTCAGAATAAATTAGTTATGAGTTATGAAAAATAAATTGTATTTGAACTGGACTAGAGAAGGATCCAAAAATAAACCAATCCGCCAGTTTTCGGCCGGCGATCCTTTATATTTTAGTTGGAAATGAATAACATTCGTTTATTTGTTACCTCAAAGCCCTACTTATTACTAGGCAAATTTCGTTGTAAAAATAGAAGGAGGAACGAAAATAATACCACCATAATATATAATAAAAAACCACCATTTTCGTGTTAGAATTACTTATATTTACAAGAATTTATCATCATTCAAAACATACTGAGTGCTATTTCATAAAAACCATATTTTTACAAAATTTCCTAATCTTCTAATATCCACATGTTTATTTATATATCAACTGTAGATAGTTGTTTGAGGAAAGTGAGAAATTGAAATACAACACTTGCAACATTGCACACATTAACGTAACAATTAAAAGTAGGTCCTAATAAAATAGGACAGCTAGAATATTTCTGAAAATTATGTAACGATACGCAAAGCTAATTTGGCCTTATGGAACTGCCAAAATGTATTGCTATAAATACCTACAAAAATAATATCAGTTTTTAGTTAGGGCGGCATAAAAATGGGGACATATTGGTATGAAATATTACCATTGAGCTATTAGCACTTTCCGAGTTTTCAGTTATTTTTCCAATTTTAAATGATCCATTTTTAAGGAGTTCATGTGTTTAATATACTGGATAAAATGAGACAGAATTGATGCTGTAAGAATAGCAATTGCTCCAATTTCAGTAAAATTTGCACTGAAAACATTCTGGATGAGAACAGTGAAAAGTATCGAGTAAAACACTGAACCTTTTTGGTCATTTAACAAAATTTTACACGTTGAACTTATCTTCTGTTATTTCAAATAATGTTGTTCCCAATGGAATCACGTGGACACAAATCTATCAATTTATTATAAAAACTTAATTAATCTTATATAATGTGCAATTACAAAAAACACATACAAATTCTGAGTGATTCAAAATTAGATTACATAATTTAAACTGTTTAATTGCAAACAAAAATATGGCGAAAAGTTCATATAAATATACATACGCAAACGCTTTTCTTGGTTAAGTTGCCAGGTTGTTATCCTTTCTTGAAAATTTGTACGGGATTCTTTCTGTGAAAATTCTGTTACATTTTCCATACATCTTCTGTAAAATTTGATATTTTGTTGACTAGTTTTTAACATTTATCTGTTAGATCCTAACCGCCGTCTGTAACTTCAATAGCGATCGCGTCCACCCCATGGACCTTTTTGTTTCCCACGATTTTCATCCTTAACTCAACTTAATCTTCAGTCAATGCAATTTTTCACCAATTCATCCTCAAATTATTATTACACGCAACGTTGAGCTTGATCAGCATTGCACACCATGTTGCGCATATGGTGAGTTTTTTCCAGTTTTTTATTTATTCTCTTCCATTGGAAAATTTACCTTTATTTCTTGTGTCTCGGTACTTCTTGTAGTTCCTCCCTGTTGCTATGTTTTCATTCTGCAAGAAACATAAATAATTAAACAATATTGCTAGCTGTTTAGTGTCTGGAAAAAATGGGCGTGTCTAAATATTACACAGAAATTAGAAAAAAACAATTTATCTATGCGTACGTTGATTCTCTCAACGAACGCATGGGCCCCTAAAACACCAAGGTTGTTTTATTACAAAACTTTTAAGGTACTTAGTATAGATTGCAATTTTTTAGTATGATATTGTAACGGAAATGGCCTGGAGTACTCACGTTTGGAATGGGGGATCGAAATTCATGGTATTTCAGTAAATGGGAGCCCCATTTGGGCCCCATTTACTGTCAAATATGACACTGACAAGCGGGAAGTTTCGCACCTGTTCTGGAGATTTCTAGAACTATCTGGAATACCTGGAGAAAAGGATATAAGCGACGACGAGAACCAGACGGGAGAGAGTGAAGTGACAGCCGCGCCTGAGTACAGAAGAAGTTAAACCCGCGAGTCGGAAATCCGTGTTTTCCTTTGTTCCTGTTCCGTAGTTAAAGTTGTACCGAGTGGAATAAAAGTTGTAACCAGAAGAAAGAATTTGATACTCGGCCATCCACGGTACAATATAAACTAGTCAAGACCGCTTAAATTTATAACTCTTGTTCTTTGAGCTCGTCAGGAAAGAATCGGCTTGTTCCCAATAATGTTCATATTTTTAACATCATGTATGATGAAGACAAGAACAGAAACAAAATTCAAATAGTTTAAATTTTAAACTAAGGAAATTTGAGTTCATTCTTGAAAGTTTATCAATGCAAAAGGTAATGTTTGGCTCTGATTTTCAATAGTATCAATGTTTTTCCAAAGCACGGATCAGGAGAAGACCAAATGTGACTTGGTCTCCCTATTCTCCTGACTTTGATCCATGGCATTTTGCTCACTGCGAACGCCTGCAAATGTTGGTTGATTCACTCCTGAAAACATGAATGGCGCAAGAATTGTGTCATTCCGATAAAATAAGAAACAATTTAAGGATCTTGCAAATTCGTGCAACAATTCTCAATTCAACGTACGCTAGAAAGTTTCGTTTTGCAAGAAAGTGATGTAGAACTCCAATTTCCAAACTTACCAATTTTTCATTAACTACTAAACACACATTTCAAGTTATTTTTTTCGTTAAAATTGTCAATTCTGTTATTTAAAAACTGATTTAAATAATAGACATTTTAAGGAAAACAAGGAATTCATTTTATCAATGACAGCAATAATACGTTTTTTTTGTTTCAGCTTCAAGTTTTCCAAAAAAAATGTTTTCGTGTTTCTATCATTGAGCATGTTAAAAAATTGTATTTAGAATCTTGACGAAATCACACAGCAGAATTAGTTCTCAGTTACTGTATGTATGCATACTATTGTATGAGTCATTAACTGGAGTCTATCATATAACAATAATAATAATTTTACTAAATATTTTAAAAAACAGGGCCTTATTTTAGGAACCGATATCTTGGCAGTGAGGGCTTGCAGAATTTTGTTTCATAAGAACTTGCCATCCTGTTTCATACTCTCTCTAGATTCAGCCAAAATTATGCTCCACTTTAGTCAGCGCGCCTGTATATTATTTAGAATTAATCTAAAAAAACGGCTCCTTCTGGAATATTTTAAAAAACATGCTCCACTTTGGAAATAAATTGAGGTATAAATATTTACGGTTATATTTGCCAAATTATATTCATTTATACTGAAAGTACTTTGGTACTAAAACTACTAATTCAGCGCATATTTTTATCTTCTCTTCATAGCGCTTTAGAAATAGAAGTAAGCTAAGTCTTAATTGCGCTCTCTAACCCTGAGGTCAAGTACAAATTACTCGGACGCAGTATTCTATAATTGATATTATTTCTTGATGGAATTAAATAAATGAACATGAAATATAAAGTAAAACATTACATTCCTATTAGGACATGTATATGCTAAGCCGTCCTTATATGCCGTGTTGCTGGATTAACTCCAAGTTGCTTCTAATGCCGCTAAGTTTGGGCTTATAAAACCCCCTAATCTGGCCATTTTGCCAGTTTTCTTACTATGCAAATGTGTTTTACTTATTTACGTCGACTTGTTTTACCTTTTCTTTACCTAATGCAACGGTCTAGCTTCCGGAAACATGTTTTTATAGCACATTTCATCTGTTTTAATTTCGTTTCTGATTATCTATGCAATTTGAAGCCGACATATTCAACATTGTAGCGGACGAGAAGCCGGATAACAAAGAACTTTCGACGTGGCTGTAAAAAAATATCCGTGAAATCGGTAAAAACCGCACGACCTAAAACCCATTTTCGACATAATGACCCCTATAAGAAATCACTTTTCAATAAGTTTTTATGATAACATATGGGAAATGGTAATTACGGGTAGGTAACCCTTTGAAGGAAGTATCGTAATTCAATAGTTTCTTATGGTATTTAAAATTTTTGGACATCGAATAATGATCTTCCCAATAATTATTGTAAATTGATGTGGTAACATATGCTTGGATACTTTTATAAATAGCCGTTAAGATAATGGTTTAAATCGACTGATGTTTGAATTATATAAAGTTGAACCAACTGTATCAGTTTCTACTTTTGAGGAAATAAAATTTAATATTCAGTAAAATAAATTGAAAATAAATTATATTGCCAATTACCAAAACACACTAGAACTAATAATTTTATACACAAGCTGTACTGTGCTGTTTTTTGGTTTCATCTTAATCTATATATTATTTTATATATAATAGATTGTTTACTTAAGATCACGTGTGGTCATTCAAATCATTATCTATTGCTTCTGGTTTATACTCTCAACTGCATATATTTTTTTACGTCAAGAAAACAGGGCTTTACAATTCGGGACGTACGATAGAAAATAACAGGTTCAGCTGTTGAAAAATGTATGGAAAAAGCAAAAGTAGGACAAAACACAAGGGAGATTAAATCCAAAATCAAAACAGAAAATTATCTCAAATAAATTTTTCATCATCAAAGATGGCTCTTTGACTTGGTGCATATATTGGTGGGTATATTTTAGATACTCAAGAGAAAAAGCACCTTGTCAAGTTAGAGCAATTCTCGTTCCCTTTCTTGAAGTAACGTGTCTTGTTCGAAAGTCGAACTACTCGTAGAATTTAAAACGTTTGCATCAATCTGGTTAAACGTTTTTTTTTTATTAATCCATTTTAATCTCTAAAGAGAGATATTTTTTCAAGTGGAGAAATCGTGTCGCCATTTCCCTTCTGGATTTGTTCTTGCCTTCTGGATTGTTTTGCAGAAGTTCCAAGAGAGAAAAATCAAATTCTTATTATATTTCCACAGGGAATACATTCCAAAATGCAAACAGGGGCATGCCGCTATATTTTCTGCAAAACTGATTTTATTTGGTTTCTTGAAGTACGGGTGAACTTTTAGGTTCAAATTGGTAATGGTTTTACAGCTTTCAATCGTTTGGTTTTCCTCATTATTTGTTTCTGGGTTCTAAGTGCTTGTTTCATATTTTAAAACATTATTGAGAAACCGCAAGATAGCTCAATTTATTAAGGCTGGATGCTTGAGATTTTGACCTTAAAACTTTGCGAACTTTGAGTGAATTTGAGGCTCAAAAAACTTGATTCGCGGAGCTTTTCCAAAATGTTTGATGTTTAGTTCGTAGTGAGTTAAAGTCCAAGTGTTCAATGTGTGCAGAAGAAACTTATGTTGAAGTTCCAATCCACATCTTTAAGTAAAATATATGCATTTCAAAAAAGTATGCATGTTAGAAGGCAAAGTTTGAACAAAAGACCTGCGACGGAAATTTTTTTTTGGGAAATATAGAACGCCATAATTTTTTATTAAAAATTTTGTAAAGTTTCTTTTACTTCAAATGCTATTTAGGATTTATTTCTGTTACTCCTTATACATAGAGAATTGCTAACAGTATTTTAATCTGATTTTATAAAAGTGGGTTATTTCGAAACATTCTAAATATTATTAATTTATATCTGACATTAAATCGGTATCCTTAACTATGTTTGAATTTTTGAATAATATGTATTTTTTAATTAAAACTAGCAATTATAAAATAATTGCTTTTAGGTATAACGTTTTTACTAAATTTCTTTAGAAACTCGTAGCCGGTATATAATTTCTTATAGATTAGGTCAAAGTTTGGTTTGGCCAGCAATTGAAACAACTGTGAATTACACCATTACTTACTTTTTTATCTATTCGATGTTGAAACTTAAAAACAGAATAATTCTGCAAAAGACTGAACGACTCTCGGCAGTCAAAATTGAAAATTATCTTCTCTCGGCCCGCCTCAATGTAATTAAGGGTTTAATCTCTTTTTGTGGGAGTCTAAAAAGTAAAGCAAAATGCTTTCATTTTGAAGCTAGGCGGGTGCGAACTTCCACTCTATTCTAATGCTTATTATCTGATGCAAATGATAGGAAGAAAAACAATGTTCACTTTTGCCGAACTTGCTAGAAATTTCCTTGTCTCCGTTCATAAATGGACTTGATATATTTTGAAACAATTACAACATTACTTTATTATTAACAATATGTGTCCTCGGCGTGCTACACTTAAATTTACAGCATGCCTTGGGTGCAATTCCTGTAAGGCTGAGCAATCGAGTTAGCCAATCTCACAAATTACGCTTTTGTCGTGTTCTTCAATCTATTGAAAGAGAATTTTGAACATATAAATAAATAAGAATTGCGAAAAGACGGAGTAATTAATTTTGAGAAATGGGAAAAAAATACTGAACCGATGTCATCAAATACTCTGAGTAAAAACCTTCATAGAGCCGCACCATCCAACACGGTATCCAGATAGCTTGATCCAGATTAATGTAAGTATTTTCTAGCGGCAATTTATCTTAGAATTAAGATTAAGACGTCCCGAATCGCAGCCATCTTAATTTGTCACTCGTCTGCGGTGCCAGCGGCCATCTTTCTTCCTGTTTTTTTTTCTGCTGTTTTAGACGTTTCAACTACAGTCTTCTTCTGCAAAACAAACGGGAGTTTTTGCCTTCAATTAAAGGGGCCAGCTAGATTGATTTCGGCCAGGTTCCAACCAACAAAAGATACAATCAGTTATATAATTCACTTTGATCGTTTATCAAATATTTGTTTGTTGAAAGGAAGAGAAACAAGTATTTAGTTTCATTTGTGTTATTCGGTTGTTCAGTGTTTGGATATCAGTTTTTCGTGATTTGGATGGTTTTTACGTAGAATATTCCTTAAATTGTCTGCCTTTGTCTTCAATATTTTCGGTACAAAAATTCCAATCAAATTACCACATGGAGTGTTTTCCAAAGTAAATTAATGTCGCATATGGGAAGCAGATAAATTCAGTAAAGTTTTACGTAAGGCTCAGTTTTACGGCTTCTGAACATTAGCCAACGTCTTCAGAAACATATACTTAGTATATTATACTATATTAATATTTTTGCTTCAGATACTAATAATAAACAAATAGTCCTTCCTTCAACGCCACCTTCAACCATCCGACGATGACTAAAAATATTTTTTCATTATCTTTCTTACAATTCGTATACTTACATGAAAGGCACAAAAATTATTTTGCATTATGGGAAGAAGCATTCAAATGTAATGTAAGTCAATGAAAAATTAATGAATTAGTTTGTTAAATAGAAATTTTGCTGGTCTCACATGTAGGTCCAAACGCTTACATATTGAAAATTAACAGTTTTGCTAAAGAGTAAAATTTTGTATGGCATAAATTAAGCATAAATATTTAACAAAAGCATCCATACATATAGGCTGCCCAGGCTGATCTAAAAACAGTGCAGATTTTTGGATTTAATTGATTAACTAGCAATATGGCAAATCTCGGCTGGGTTTAATCCAAAAACTACCTATAGCTTTAGGTAATCAGATCATTATCAAACAAATTGTTGCAATTTCAAGAATTATTTAGTTTTGATTGCGGTTTCTCAATTTACGCTGTGGAAAATAATTAATAATTGTGTAATTACATACATTCGAAACAAAAAGGTTTTTTCGCCCGCTTTTAATCAAATTAAGTATTTTCTTTTTACGCCAGTAGCGCAAGTCTTTAAAACGAACGAGAAATTTAAATTGACTACAAATTTGATTAGTTCTATGTATAATTTGGAACCACGCTGTTTCTTAGTCCGTTCTTTTCGGCGAGTTGGAAAAATGTTGATTCAGGAATACAAAATGTTCTCTGTGATAAAGGAATAACTGTTGGGCAAAGTGATCCTTCTGGTTATCTAGTGACGCGTAATAACATAAAGCAATACAAACTACATTTTATTGTTATATGAATGCCACTCAAGATAATAAATATCAGCCCTCAATAAACAAATACACAACAAAAACACAACCCTTAAGAGTGAAGAAACCAGTTTTTTTCTTCTTTAGTTTAAGGGAAAGTTTGTTTAGCTAATTCGGATTTATTTTAAGCCCGATGAAATAGTTTAAATCAATTAGACTTACTGTGAATTTAGAAGCAAATCGGAAACATCGGTTTGCCGGATTTTAATTACCATTTTGTTTCCAGCAGTTTAAAACATGCCTATTTCCTTTTATTATCTTTGAAAATCTACATTATAACCTACTTCTTTATTTCTTAACATCAAACACAAACAAATTAATGGCAAAATAATTGTACTAGCCCCAACTTCTCAGGTTTATTCCGGAGATAATATTCCTGTTCGACTTCAAGCCTATTTTGCTACTTAAATTTACTTTACTTACTAAGTACTGCTTAAGTAAACATTGTTAACTAAAAAACAAATATTCCGGTCGTTCTATTGCGAGACGTTTAGTTGGCCGGCGTCGTATTCTTTTCTTCTTCCCAGCTCCTGCTGTCCCGCACGGAAAATTTAAATTGTAAATGGATTCCTCAGGGATTTATTGATTTTTCTCTTTTCTTCGCCTGCTCGACGATTCCTCCCTAACCAGGGGCTCTTAACGCAACACTGAAATATTAAACAATCCTTTATCAAAAGGGTCATAATATTTAAGAATAGATTTCATATTCGGTTCGTTTGTTTAAACAGGTTCCACGTATCGAAAGTGCATTGGATAAATTGTGAGCAACTTTGTGGGCAGTTCAAGCAATACTCTTTTAGCACCATCGGGGATTTTTTAAAATGTGGCCATTAAATCAATAATGAAAGATCCACAAATAACACAAAATTATATTTTTGTTTGCAGTAGTTTTTAAGAAAGTTTATTGGTTTCTCATCTTTCTTCTACAGTGTTTTGCGTGTACTGGCTAAGGACTAAAATTGCTCACTAAAACCTCATTGCGTTTCCCCCTTGGTGATTTTATTGTTCCGCTGCTGGCCGTGCTCAGAATGTTTATGGCTATTTTTTTTTATTTAGGAGGTATTTTTAATAAACATTTAACGAAGCTCCTTGAAACCTTAACAGTTTCCGATTTTTTCAAACCCTGGATTTATTCGGCAGAATTTTGGATAATTGAATTTTGAATTGAATAATTCAGAAAAAATATTGTCTCGAATTAAATTCAATGAGTTTTTGTTGAATACACCACTGTTTTTGCGCAATACGTCCCGGTCGCATTTCATCCCTAGTTCCGTATATACTTAAGAAACTTTTCGACTTTATTAAAGCATTTTAAAATTTTAACGAGCTGAGTGAAGTTGGTTATTAACATAAAATGGAAGCCATATTTTAAGAGTGAATAAGAAATATCGCGTAGCCCGGCGAGGCGAGGAAAAGTTGCCAAAGCAAGAAAGTTAAATAACTAAATAAGTTCGCAGAGCGAGAAGACAGAGGGCCCCCGATTCATTTTAATTTCAAATTACCTCGTATTTAGGACATGGCGTAAAGTGTTACAAAATAATTGCCCGTTCCTTAAGAGGCATAATTGTAATTTTTAAGTACACAGGAGGCCCGGAAGTACGCAAAGACAAAAGTCATTTTCGTCTTTCGATCTTCGCGTCTAATTGTGAATACCCAAACACCCATTTGTACTTCTAACAATGAGCTGCGTTTGATAAATATGCAAAACAATTGCCCCATAAACTAGCCATGTGAAATAAATAATATAATATCTACCTTATTAAATATTTTAATCTTTCTTCGGCGCTTGCGTCTATAGCACAAGTTGTTTTTCAAAGCCCCTTTCCTTTGTTAATTGCACTGGCTCCATTATTCATCGGGCCTTCCATTAATTTTCGTTTTGTACTTCTCTCTCGATTCTTCTTCCAGGGGTTGAGCGAAAAACTTTCCTTCGTTTTCGATGTAAAGACTTATTAATGACGAAATTAAGCGACCCCACGTGAAATTTTCTTAATTTAATGCCAAACATTATCGAGAAAATTATTTGAAATATGAATTAATTCCTGCATATTTCATATCTCTCACTAAGAATATGTTTCAATAATCTAATAATCAATTCATATCTACAAACAATTTTCTACAATTGCATATTCATGTTTCATGTGATGTACGATATTTTTTAATTGTAGAACTAACAAACTAAGGACTTTAAAGTGTGTTTTTGTTTGGTTAAATATTTGTTGATTAATTATAATTGGTTTTCAGAAGTAGCTCTAGTTTGACATTGATTTGATGGGTGAAAATTTAAAATGTTCAAACTGTTATTTTTTGTTAATCAAACAAAAGAAGTTTAATTTAGTGCCATTAAAACCGTAACCTTAAAATCTGGACGGTGGCTCTTTAACTGCCCTCACTACCATTGTTTTTGTTTAAAAATATCTGTTTGAAAGCTTCGCATTTTAATTCTTAATTTTTCGTTATGCCAATGAATTTCCATCCATTAATTTTCATTTTTACTGTTACTCAACAATCTTCACTCTCAATTTCATGCATCGTCTTTATCGATTTCCCGCATATAATGACTATTAGCTATAGAGTTGAAATTTATTCAGAAAGAAACAAATTCAAATAGAAACTTTAAAACCCCCAAAGAAATCTGAATTTGCCAGCGTCTCCTTTTCCATCTTGATAAGGGCGAGATTTGTAAGAATTCCAACAAATTTCCTGAAACCCTTAAGGAACGAATGCAAAGAAATTTATTCAGAAATAAGAAACTTTAACCCGTCAAATTAACAAAGTGGAAAATTGAGTTTTCTGCCGAGTTTTCGCCCTCAGTCTTTGCTTGCGCGAATGTTTCCTATAGTCTTGCGTTGACTGTTTAAATAATATTGCATTATGGACGCTTGAAAATATTTTCCATCAAAGACAAAGAAAAGCCGCAGATAAATTTCCGAATTGAACATTTGCCTCCAAGTCAATTTGGTTAAATATTCAAAATTACGCATTTCTCCAACAAAGCCTACAGTGAACTGAGTAGTAGTTTTACTAATTTGAGTTTAATGAAAATATTGAATCGAAAATAAAATATTTACTTGCTTATAAAAATACTTGTGGGTGCGCAGGTAAATTGTTGCATCTAACTCGTTTGCTAGTTCGGATCGGCAAAGAAACTCAAATTCGGTTAATGAAACATTCTCAACTGAAAACGTAAAATCAGCGGCAAAAACTAAATTTCGTTTTAATAACCCCCGTCAATAAGGGCTGATGCCATTAAAAACCGAGATTCTCCCCTCGTCCTAGCAATTCCTTGCACATTCATTAAATTTCTGTAGCGTAATGGCTTAAGCCGAGCCAACAACTTTTTATGCTTCTCTCGTCTAGTTTCAGATTTTATATTTCTCCCACCAGTTTCATTAAAGTTTTTAATTGAAAGCAGCCGAGTTTCGGTTTTTGTGGCTCTTTTTGTGTTGCTTTTAGTAGGTATTTGTCGCTGTAATAATCTACTGCATGTTTTTGATCACTCCATCTGCTTTAAACACTCTTCCCATGAATAACAGAATAACTTTCAAATCGATTGTCTGACTGAGTAGAGAAATTGACTTAATTGATGAATTCATTATCTGAGTCATGTAAGATGTTTTTCAAACTAGACGAAAGTGAAAACAGGCAACTTTACGTAGCCTGTCTACGCACAAGCAACGATTTACCAATTTTTCCAGAAGACGAAATTACATAAAAGAAACTTTTTTAGAAAAATAAATCGTCTCACACACGCCTTGTAAATTATGGACCAAATTTGGCTTGCCTTGACATAGATTGAACATCTTTTAAGAACCAAAGGTTTGATTTGGAGTATGTGTATCTTAAGATTGTGCTAAAATTTGATATTTGCAGGTATTCAGTAAGGCAGGGTTTCCGGCTACTTAAAAATACATCCATTTTGATTTATATTTGATTTGATCTTCAAACATCCTGTATATTTTCAAAACGTGCACTAAATTTCAAGTTTCAATCTATTGTCAGCTTTACAGAATAACGAGATTTCAGTTCCGAAATTTGAACAACCTGTAAATATGTTAGCAAAAATTATGCAACGCGTTAGCAGGCATTATTAATGAACCTTTCGTTGAAAAATCGCAAAAAATTATGTTTAACAGTTTAGAAAGTTGGAAGGCTATATTGGAACATCCCACATTTAATAGTTGAGCTTGGGTTTCTATATCAGCTAATATTAAGGGGTATAAGACTGCTCTTATCAATTCTTCAGTTTCAGCTGGAATTTTTTTTATATGTAGATATGTTATCATCACAATTGACCGAGTACGTTTGTTGTAAATACCTGCAGGTTTTGAAGTAAACGTTTTCAGAATATGGCTAAGTATAGGAATATATTTTCTCTTAGCTCATAGTACTAAAATATCCTGCAAATAGTGTATTGATTTACCGTCAAAATTTACTTTTCAAGCAATTATTTCTAACAGTGTAGGAAAAGATTATTTGTCAAACTTAAGTAAAGGATTCGTTTACCGCTGTTATTTCTGACCTTCTCATAATAGTTTTCAATTGATTTGTTATACAATATGATTGGCCTTTCTAGTTTGAATTTTCCAGAAATTAATTCCTTATTTTCTGTTGCTAATCTTGAGCTTCAATCTATTTTCTCACTTTTTGTTTAGTCTACCACCCACTGAAGAAGTTCTTTAATTCACTCTCTGTATGTTGCATTTGTAAGTTTACAGCATTAGTCTTTCCATCTTTTTGGTTCCTGTAATATCTAGTATGTCCAGGTTGATTTTTCTGAATCCCACTTCTTTTTTCTGTTAACCCTTTTCGTCCATGTCACTATTTTAGAAGATAATATATGCGATTTCTCCTTATTATCGCTTAATCTCTCAGTATTTTTTTTATTTTTGACTTATAGTCTCCGTGCCTAATTTTTTCTGTATCGCGTGTGCATTTCTAAGATTCACTTAATTTTATTATTTCTCAACACTTTATTAGGTACTAAAACCTCATTAATGCTCATGTGCGACTTTAAACTTTTTGTTTGCTATATGGCTTAATTTTTATTAAATGTAATTGTTCTATTAACAGTTGATCATTAGTAACTACAGTCACATTAAATGAATTTTGACAAAAAGGGTTTCTATTTTTGGTTATTTTCATTTTGTTCTACCAGAGATGTTTTACGTGTCATGTTTGAGGCAGTTAATTTTTCATAGTGACTGAAAGCAATTTGATAGAATTTGTAGGTTTTGTGGTTTCCTTTCTATCATTAGATGATTTTTTTTCATACCCATAATTTAATTTCTTATATTTAGATGTTCATATTTCATTACATAGTGTTTTCATTTGCTTTTCTTTTTCTACAACATCATCTGGTTTAGCTTCGATTTCTTCATAAAACGAAATAACTTTTCTGGCTTCAGAAGGTCCTATCAAACACCAATATTTTATAAAAGGAGTTAAAATTTAAACTAAGTAAAAGGATCGGTTTTCGATAAATGTACACATAAGTAAAAATTTCGGACAGGTTCAGTAGCTAATTTTCACATACAAAATTGTATGTTTTATTGCGAACTATTTTTACAGCTCTTCACAATGGTCAAAATGCAATATAAAATGTTCTGTTTATACACAGAGCCCATCTAAAATGCTTAAGAATACAAAAATCTGACAAGAAAATCTAAGTATTTTTACTGAGTCGTCTAGAACGTCTAAATGAAGATATATTTGTGTCTAATTCCTCATATTAAAGTGGTTCGATTTTCCAGTAATTCAGGAATTAATTCTCTTTTATTGAACATTGCCTATTTTACGAGCTGCTCCTGGCATTCAAGTAGAAATAACATTTGATTGAATGTGTTTAGAACAAAAATAGTTAGGGTTAAACTACACAAATCGATATCACTTTAATCTGAGAAATTTTGTACAGTTAATCTAAGAAATTTACCTGATTTGATTAAATAATTTAACTGTTTTTAATAAACTATACTTAATAACTGGTTTTAAATAACTATTACCCTTATTTTTTTGTTGGAATGAAAACTAAATGTGTCCTACTTTTCTATAAATTCGCATATTTATAAGGTCATTTGTTAAATAAAAGTATTAGAACAATTTAAAATATCAAACACTTCGTTAAAAGAAACTGAACACTTACTTACAATTATTATTCATAATATTGCACAGTATCAAAACAATTCAATCAAAGTCCGTAAGCTTTTAATTTCAAAATCTTGAGATTTGTTAGGCGATCGTTGGCGGTTTAACTACCGACAATTTTAAATACCCGGCATATACTAAACCAACACATTTTTATGGTAAACACGGTCATGCCATACTTAATCAAAACAGGCAAAAACAGATAAGTATTGTTTGAAAGGAAAGTTTGAGGAAAGTGCGCAGTTTTTTATTATAGCTTCCAAAGAGTTTAATTCATTGTAAATATTTCCAACACGTTTCACTTGATCAAGATTTCTAAAATGAATTAAAACGTTACTGAATAACAAAAATAATGCAAAGCTTATTGTAGGAAGTGTACGTATTACAATGCACATTTTTTAAATGAAATTTTATTGGGAACCTCGGTTCCAGCAATTTAAAGACAGTTGAGCCAAAACCAAATTTTAAAACATTTGTTAATGATGACAAAGATGCAACCTTAAGTAAATTAAATGATATTATGGAATGCTTTGAATTGCCCACAAAGCTATTTGCAACCTTTGCTTCAAATTAGCATGTCCTTCTTTCAAAACCCTTTAAATCTGCTGCATATAACAATTTTTTAAATAGCGTTATGAGCTAGCACTCAATGCGATGAAACAGTTTACGGTTTTCCACCAACCACACGACAGCAGTATTATCAAGTCCACAAATCAGAGATTTTTATCGAAAAACCGTTGAACCAATAGCAGGCCGGTCACCTACACAAAAACCTGAGCAAAAAATAAAAAATCTACCTTTTCCCTATTACGCCCCGAGTTTCCATGGCTCCAATAGCATTCCCAAGTCCGGGAAACGCTGGAAAGAAATCGGCCAATTCCAGAAAGAAATATCAATACTTTTGCGAAAGAATCCGGGACTCGACGGGAAGTGCAAGAGAGACGTTTCGGCGAATCCCACCCATAGAGTGAGACGGCGAATCCGGGCGAAAGAAGGTAAAAAGAGGG